TATCGACTCTTCTTCAAAATGAACAGTTTCGGACAAGTAATAAAACACAGCATAGTTTTGGGCTCACTTTCATATCTTGTATTCAGCGGATAATCTAAATTGAACACATAAATTTCCTTATGTTTGATTGAGATTTATGATTGGGTATAGATGTCAGTCCACAACCAGAAAGTTTTTCAAAAATAATCCCTTTAAATTTTAACCTGATTTAGTCTTACCAGAATTCGTTTATCTGCTGGGAAACTTATCCAATTTGGCTACGCTGTGTATGATCTATCACTAGCTGATAAGCGAATGGTTCGAATAAACTATAATTTATGTATATAAGTCTGTGTTTGAATTTTTACGCGTGTTTATTGGTATGTGTAATTGTTATTTTTTTGTATATATGTTCAGAAGTGTAACAAAAGCTAAGAGTTAAGCCACAAATCAAACTCAATGTAGCTTTAGTTCCAGATTAGTCGAGATTTTCTAGAACATTTTACTAGGTGTTGTATCTGTACTATGTTCAACCAGATACTACAAAGTAGTATAATTATGTGTAAATTGGAGGCATTGTATGTTCAATATTTACATGCTTTACGGTTTGCTTGTATTGGAAATGTTATATCAGAAAAGATGTACAAGCATGACGTTCCAAAACGTTTTCGAATCAATTTAGGATAAATAACTGTAATTGGAAAAAAAATTCGATGTCAAAATCAATCCAAAAATCTTCTTTTTACTTCTCTTCATTATTCTAGATTGTTTCACCAGATGCTAAGTAAGTGGGTACTGATTATCAATCAGATTTGGATACGTAAAATTAGTGCGTGTAGATAGGCATTTTAATCAATTTTTATTTGTAATTGTAAGCACGATTAATGTCTTCTTTGTATGTTTTTTGGTTATATACATTTGTTTAGAATGATTCATATGTATAAAGTCACTTATGCGATCAAAAGTATGCCATCAGAAGTGCCAATTTAAATAGAAAAACAATTCATCTCAAATTTTTTTTGCTGCTCCTGATTTCTGAATAGTTGACCACATACTAAAAATTACCGGATACAACATTAAAACGTATTTCTATGGCTACATAGACATATAGTGTGTGATATAGTTATAGTTTTACAAAACTTATCATTAATTTCTTAACCTGTAACATAATCCTACTCGATATTGATAATCTGGCAACACATTGGTCTTACTGTTGTTGTCAATATAGTTTTGCTTAAAATTCAATCTGTTAAACAAGGCTAGAACTTACATACATGCCCTTCATTAGCAGGTTTTAATTTTTTTTCAGTTTTTTTTTGATCTTTGATAAATCAGATGATTGCACGTTTCGCCCAAAATGCACACATAAGCTGCAGTTGTTAAGTTAAATGCAATCAATGTTCGTGAAGTTTTGCCAGATAGACTATCAAAAAAACTGTAC